CGAATTTATGAGCCACACAGTTCAAGAAGTGTCAGTTGGGATCTACTGCTTTACGCGACGTACCGGGAAAATGTTAGTGCTTATTACAGCCTGTATTCTTCGTGTATAGTCGCTATTTATCATGAGCAAAGTGTTGTGAGCAAGCTGTTTACAAGTAAAGTGTTGTTGTACGTATATGATTTTACTTTATTAGTTGATGTGAATAAAAGTTCGCCAGCAAAAATGATAAACAGAAACTTTATGGTCCCTGACAAAGTGTGTGATGGTAGTATGACTGGATATCTTTCAGTACTATAATAATTGAAAGTAATATTCGGCAGTACAACAGGAATATAAATTCGAAGTAAATCTTTATATGGCTTCATCTCTAAGTTACTTTATCCCCCCATACTAAACGTAGCGATATTTGCCTGCGTTCGAGATGTTGGCGGTCCATTTTGTGGCCCTTGCTTGTTTCACACAACAATCCTAGTTGCCGCGGGCATTGTCAGGTGAGACTACAATTCTAGCTATCAGCAAAAGCTGAGCGTGCTGCTATTAGGATAGTAATTGCAGACTCAATCGGCGAGACGGCAGAATAAGCAATCTACCAAAGTTCGATAAGCCATCAAGTGGTGATGAAATGAGGCCGCGTGGGCGTGACTAACGGTGCGATTGCTGATATCCTCACAGCAACACCGTTGGGGTGTTTGCTATCCAAGCGTCGAGCCACTACATTGTGTGTGACTTTGGTACTCCGTTAACATCATCATCCGTAAGGGCTCGGTGGGCTATTTTAGAATGCATTGGTAATTTCAACCTGGATCTCTGGCCGGAGCCCCACAGTTCGACGACGCCGACTTGCTGTCTGTGCTGCAGGTAGTACGACTGCGCGACGAGTCTCAGGTCATTACAGGTGCGGTCGCATTCCAACAAGCAATATTATTTTGGGAGGCCAGTTTAGTACATGTCAGGGCTTTGAGAACGGAGATTGAAGTCTCAATGAGAGCGATGGCAGGATAGACGGAAAAGCCGAATCCGGAATTACATACGAGAATCTGTGGCATTGTGGAATCCGTTCATGGTTCGAGTTTCAATGGCTGTTGATGGTGACGCGGCTAGTTTTATCTGCGAACAAGGCTAGGGAAATTGGGGTGTATGGCAGAGCTGGCATAGAGACGTGAAGAGTGTGGTG